GGAATATTAGGAGGAGCTATATGGAATAATAGGAGGGGGTTATATGGAATAATAGGAGGGGCTATAAGGAATATTAGGAGGAGCTATATGGAATAATAGGAGGGGGTTATATGGAATAATAGGAGGGGTTATACGGAATATTAGGAGGAGCTATATGGAATAATAGGAGGGGGTTATATGGAATAATAGGAGGGGTTATAAGGAATATTAGGAGGAGCTATATGGAATATTAGGAGGGGGTTATATGGAATAATAGGAGGGGGTTATATGGAATAATAGGAGGGGTTTTAAGGAATAATAGGAGGGGGTTATTTGAAATAATAGGAGGGGTTATACGAAATAATAGGAGGGGTTATTTTAAATAATAGGAGGGGTTATAAGGAATAATAGGAGGGGTTATTTTAAATAATAGGAGGGGTTATAAGGAATAATAGGAGGGGTTTTAAGGAATAATAGGAGGGGGTTATTTGAAATAATAGGAGGGGTTATAAGGAATATTAGGAGGAGCTATATGGAATAATAGAAGGGGTTTTAAGGAATAATAGGAGGGGGTTATTTGGAATAATAGGAGGGGTTATTTGGAATAATAGGAGGGGTTATTTGGAATAATAGGAGGGGGTTATATGGAATAAGAGGAGGGGTTATATGGAATAATAGGAGGGGTTATATGAAATACAAGGAGGAGTTTTATGGAATAACAGTAATTATATGAAGGTGTGGAAGAGGTTATATGGAGGGGTTATACAACATTATATTTAGGGAATAAAGATATGAAAAAATAGGATACATTATGGGAAGGAATTTTATAAAATAACAGGATCAGATTTATGGAATTGCACTCAACAATAGGAAATACACAGATATTTGAAATAATAGGAGGGGTTATACGAAATAATAGGAGGGGTTATTTTAAATAATAGGAGGGGTTATAAGGAATAATAGGAGGGGTTATTTTAAATAATAGGAGGGGTTATAAGGAATAATAGGAGGGGTTTTAAGGAATAATAGGAGGGGGTTATTTGAAATAATAGGAGGGGTTATAAGGAATATTAGGAGGAGCTATATGGAATAATAGAAGGGGTTTTAAGGAATAATAGGAGGGGGTTATTTGGAATAATAGGAGGGGTTATTTGGAATAATAGGAGGGGGTTATATGGAATAAGAGGAGGGGTTATATGGAATAATAGGAGGGGTTATATGAAATACAAGGAGGAGTTTTATGGAATAACAGTAATTATATGAAGGTGTGGAAGAGGTTATATGGAGGGGTTATACAACATTATATTTAGGGAATAAAGATATGAAAAAATAGGATACATTATGGGAAGGAATTTTATAAAATAACAGGATCAGATTTATGGAATTGCACTCAACAATAGGAAATACACAGGGGAGGAGTTATATGGAGTGATAGGAGGAGCTATTTAGGAGCTACCACTAGGGATTATATAGAGTTATAGGAGGAGCTATAGAAAGATGTTATATAGAGTTATAGGGGGAATGATGGGGAGGAGTTATAGGAGGAGCTATCACAAGAGGTTATATTGAGTTATAGGAGGAGCTATGGTGAGAAGTTATATTGAGCTATAGGGGGAATGATGGGGAGGAGTTATAGGAAGATGTTATATAGAGTTATAGGAGGAGCTATTGGGAGGAGGTATTTGGAGTTATAGGGGCAGTGATGGGTAAGAATTATAAGGAGTTACACAAGCATCTATGGGGAGGGGTTATATGAAGTAATGAGGTGGGGGTTGTTTGAGGAAAACTGATGGAGGCAATATGGGAGGGAGTTATAAGGAGTAATAGGATTAGCAATGGGGAGGAGGTTTTGTGTTTGTAATAATTAGTATTACGGTGAGGAAAGGACATTTTATATGACTGTATAGCATCTATAAACTCACTGCAGGATGAATCTGTGCAGTATGTGATGACAGATGGAGCCTTACAGGGGTGTTGTATGGGGGGTACTGGTAACTCTGGGATGTAGATTAGCTGAGTCTGAGTCTGGAAATTACGTCTTGTGCCAGCTGGAAATAATGAAGTGAATATTTCAGCAATGTTCTTATTAATAACTGTTGCCTGATCTTAGATGTCCCATTTATAATCCCCTTATTTCTTCTCCTATGGCAGACCCATCTCTTGCTTTCCTTCTTGGTATTTCTCGTCTGGGCTGACCACCCAGCAGCCTTCTCCACTTTTTTCTCCAAACCTTTCCGCTGGCGCCCATACCCATGGCCACACCACCCGCAGACACAGGACCCCCACCCGAGGGGCAGACTACTTCAGAGGCCACAGAGCCTGTCTGCTCCACCACCGTGGTGGTGGTGGAAGAGCCGGAGCCGGAGCCTGTGCCTGAGACTACTGCTCCTGAAGCAGAGCCAACGGTGACCATCCAGTGCAAAGCCTCCTCTCTGAATGACCTCAAGGCCCAGCCTGCTACCAATGGAGGACCTCGGGCCCCCAGCCTGACTGGCTCAGAGGGACGGCTAGCCCAAGCTGCGTCTAATTCTCCCAGGCCAAGTCTGTGTCGACAAGGGTCTACAGCAACAGCTAGTGCCGTAGAAGCGGAAAAGCCAAAGGATTATCTGTTTATTGCCATCTTGTCGTGCTTCTGCCCCATGTGGCCAGTGAACATCATTGGCTTTGTGTACTCCATAATGGTAAGTCAAATACCTTTTTTTGTTGTAGACCTCCTATGTGTCCACTTTGTCATAGAACTCACATCCATCGTAGACCGGACATCTTCTCTGTCTTGGAACAGACCTCTCCCTTGTCCATTTTGTCATCAGCCTATCGTGTGTTCATTTGTCATAAACACTACACTAGTCTGTCTTTTGAAAGAACTTTTAGTCTTTTGACTCATTTACTTCCCATGTTTCCATTTTGTCAGGCATTCTACACTTGTCTGTCTTGTCTAAGACCTCTCAGTTGTCCACCTTGATGTAGAGCTCCCAAATGACCATTTTGTCATAAACCCTTGCACTTGTGTACCTTGCCAAAGATCTCCTACTTGTCCACTTTATTATAAACCACCCAAATGTCAATTTTGTCATAGATCCTTCACTTGCCTTGTCATGGACCTCCTACTAGTCTATTTGCCATCTGCCTTCCATGCGTCCATTTTGTCATAGACCTCTTACGTGTTCAAATTACCACTGACTTCTCAAACTTCATATTTTATTGTAAGTCTCTTAGAATCCTCCACTTTCTTGCTCATAGATAAATTCTCCTCCTTTTTCCCCATTTGCCACCATCATAATATTATATTGTCCTTACTGATGCATTCTCATAGTGTTTGCAGGACAATACTTTGGCTGCCTTACAATGAAACCATTGGAAAGGTTAGAACATGGGTGATTGGCCACCTGATGGCTCTAGTTCCTACAAACCACATCTGGAACTGACACTGTCTTCTGTACGCAGTCCACCAGCAGTACACAGTCACTGGATTGAGCATCTATAGTGTTATATCCCCGACAGAGCTGGTCTACAAAGAAGACCAGATGTGGTTTGTAGGAACTAGAGCCATCAGGTGGCCAATCACCCATGTTCTAACCTTTACAAAGGTGTCCCTATATATATAAATATATATAGGGACACCTATGTTTTCCAATACTCCAAAAAAAAGGAAAATAATGATGTTGCTTCTGCTGGTCAATCAAATGTCATCCTTTACTGTCTGGCCTGTTGTAGGATAATAACAACTGATATGTGACTGGTTGTTATTTGCAATCTGGACACTTTGCTGCAGGTTCCATGAGTCCGCACCGGCCGCTCCGGGGAAGGGGAGACTCGCCGTGAAATGTGGCTTCCAGTTATGTGCATTGCAGGAAGGGAGCGTTTGAGAGTAATTATCATTAAGTGCAGAGCTGCAGTGGCTGGGCCGTAATAACCCGTTCCTGACTCAAGCTATTTAGACCACCATGGCTGCGGCTTGATGCTCCCTACGTGCGCT